CCTCTGAAGCTGGAATACTCTAGATCAACAAAGAAGAGGGTTTCTGAATTAGAAGATTCAGAGATGACCACAGTATTTGAGTCACCAAAAGCAACAACATCAAGTACAACATGACTAAGATTCAAATAAGCAAGATCTGGAACTGATACCTTTTTGAATTTGGTAAGACGCAGTTCATGAGTAACTAACAGCATTTCAACTTCATCTAGATCCATAATGTCAAACTTGCTTTCAACAACAGATACAATTGGAGCAAATTCAGATGCCAAGCCTTCAAGAATGACATCAATGTGATGTGACACTGGCAGAGGATCTCTAATTGAGGCAAGAGCATCAACAATCATCCTTATTTTGAGAAAGTAGTCTTGAATAGATAAGGAATCAAGCGTAGCACAAAGTTCAACTCGAAGTTGTCTTGCACGAGCTCGTGTTTGCGTATGAAAATATTGAAACAACCGATCCCAAAGTTCATGAGCATGAGTGCAACCTAACACGCGAGAGAGAATTTCGCTAGACAGAGTAGATTGGAGACACGACAATAATAACTGATCTTTCTGAAGCCAAACAAAATACACAGTTCAGATCCAATAATGCGAGCAACATCATCAACGAATTGATGAACGATTCAACCTATTGATGCCATATATGAAAGTTTTTCTCATCGAATTTTTACGAGAGCTTTAACGCAAAACTGAAACAACGAAAGTCATTGGAATCGATCATTGCAGTCGTTTCCGGAGTTGAAACACCGTGATCGGAACCAAAGTGAGAAGCAAAAGGCGACGGTGGAGGCGAAGACGTCATGGCCGGGGATCGAGCTACGCTACGCTACTACTGATATCATGATAAAAACAAAAATATAACTTTCCATTTTTCATCTAACAACTTTTCATTATTGTGAAAGTTAGTTACAATAGGGAAACATGCCTTTTATACCACAACCTATAACCTGCAGTAGCGGGTGAAAAGCTAATGACACCTTGACAAGTGTCTGTTACAAAGATTCAAGTTATACTAGCTAATACTCCTAATATATCTTAAGATCTAAAGAACGATATATATGAAACTGTATTTTTAGATAAATATCATAAAAAAAATATAATAAAATATATTTTTGTCAAAATAGTATTTATAAATGAATAATATTTTAATTTTTGTTGATATGTAAATTAAAATAAATAGCATACAAAGAATATGTTAAAATATACACATAGTACTTATAATACTTGTTGATTTCTCTAAAGAATTAAAGAAATATATAATGGTTAGTAAGATTTTGTAACATAATATGGTTTGGTTTGGTTTGGTACAGTTTGTAAAATACAAATCGCAAATCGAACTGAACCGCACGACTCTATTAAAAATGGCCAAAACAAATCCGAACCAAATATAGTTTTTTGTTATTTCAATTTGGTTTAGTTTGATTGACAGATTTTTATTGGGTCGTTTCGATTTTGAACACCCCCATTACAATCACACATGGACTCATACTTTCCCCAACCAACCCTCTTCAAAATTTCTCCCTAATTGATAATAAAAGATCAACATCAGGATATTATGTTTATTTTGGTCTTAACTTGACTTCTTAGAGCTCAAAGAAACAATATCTTGTGGCGATATCAAGTAATGAGGCCGAATATAAGGTCTTGGCACATAGTACATCTAAATTGACAAGCACACAACACTCTTAACTGAATTACACATCAACTTTCATACACTAAATATATTGTGCGACAATCTCAATGAAGCCATGATGTCTCACAACCTCATATTACATACTACGACAAAACATATAGAACTTGACATCCACTTTGTTTGTGAGAGGATTGTAACTAACAGACTTAATATTCAGCATGTACCAGAACATGAACAAATTACCGATGCCTTTACAAAACCTTCGTCATCCAACTTATTTTATGAATTTTGAACCAAACTCAGGGTTATTCCTCTTCAACAACCATGAATTTGTGAGAGAATATTAGAAAAAATCAAAAGAGTGTAACTACTTTTGAACTATTAATTAAGATTGATTAAAAGTTATTAAGAAAGTCATTTAGAATAACTAACTCTTCACTCTCTATATATAAATTCTAAACAATCTACTTCAATGTAATAAACTATTATAACCAATACAAGAAGATCAAACCAATACAAGAAGATCATGTATCATCTCTCTATATGTTATGTTTACTTCATTCAACACTCCTAAATACAAAGTTAGATTAGTGACAATGTGACTTACTCAAAGAGAGGGTGTAAACTCTAAAGAAATTATCTATCTTGTAATTAAACGTTTTTCAATAAGGATTATTTTATCAATGGTTACACAATTTAGGATGGACATTGAACACTAGATGTCAAGACAACATTCCTACTTGATGGACTCGTAGAATTACTACTTGTTCTTAACTTGACTTCTTGGAGCTCAAAGAAACAATATCTTGTGGTGAGATCAAGTAATGAAGCAGAATATAAGGCCTTGACACATAGTACATCTAAATTGATAAACACACAACACTCTTAACTAAATTGCACATCAACTTTCATACACTAAATCTATTGCGCGACAATCTCAATGAAATTAGGATGTCTCACAATTTCATATTATATGCTATGACAAAACATATAGAACTCAACATCCACTTTGTTTGTGAGAGGATTGTAGCTAGCAGACTTAATATTCAGCATGTACCATAACATGAACAAATTACTGATGCCCTTACAAAACCTTCGTCATCTAACTCATTTTATGACTTTTGAACCAAACTCAGGGTTGTTCCTCTTCAACAACCATGAATTTGTGAGAGAATATTAGAAAAAATCAAAAGAGTGTAACTATTTTTGAACGGTTAATTCGGATTGATTAAAAATTATTAAGAAAGTTAGTTAGAATAACTAACTCTTCACACTCTATATATAAATTCTAAACAATCTACTTCAATGTAATAAACTATTATAACCAATACAAGAAGATCGAACCAATACAAGAAGATCTTGTATCATCTCTCTATATGCTATGCTTACTTCATTCAACACTCCTAAATACAAAGTTAGACTAGTGACAATGTGACTTACTCAAAGAGAGGACGTGGACTCTAAAAAAAATTTCTGTGACTTACTCAAAGAGAGGACGTGGACTCTAAAGAAATTTTCTATCATGTAATTAAACGTTTTTCAATAAGATGTCTATCAATAGTTACACAATTTAGGATGGACATCAAACACTAGATGTCAAGACAACATTCCTACTTGATGGACTTGTATGAAACAACTTGAGGTAATTAAAGTAAAAGGTAAATGCGATCATGAGTGTCTACTCTAAAGATGTTTGTATGGGTTAAAGCAATTTTCACGCCAATTGTACAAAGGATTAGACAATTTTATTTTAAGCATCAAGTATAAACATGATAATCATGGCATCATTGTTTACTATAAGAAGTTTTCCATAATGACTATGTTTATATGCTTCTATATATCGATTGCAAATAAAAACATGGTTCACATTGAGTTAAAAAAATTGTTGGCATGAAAATGACTTTAAACTTTTTTAATATATTTGATAATTAGTGTATGTCATATATGAACTAGATGCAATAACGGTCAAATGTATCAAAAAGATAAAATTTGTTTATAATTTGTTATGGAAGAAATATGTATATAACTAAGGATAACTATACCGAAAGCTGATATGTATTGACAATATTTCAAAATATAATAAGTTGGTAGGCATCACTACAACATATGGTAGCTCTATCAATAACAAAAGCTTAGTATATTGGTGTTACTGAAGGTACCAAAAAATATTATTGTTAAGGGGTATGATTGCTTGGAGTTTCACAAAACAACAGTTATGTCTTGTTTGACAATCAAATTGCTATTCATCATGCAAGAACCATGCATATTATGAAAGGACAAAAACATATTGACACAGCTTAATTTGATCAGAAACGGTGCTCAAGGCAAAAAGAATGCATGTATTTCAGCTATAAACATGGAACAATTCTGACTCTTCCATATCACATTGTTTTTAACAAGAGTTTTGTACATGCCACAAGACTTTCGACTTGATGAGGAGAGACACTGACAGTATCAAGCAGTGGTTATGTTTCACTTGGCAGTGCAAACAACCCGAGGGAATTGATCAACTCCAAGTTTATTTGTGCCATGCCATGTCAAAAAGTTCATCATGAATTGATCAACTCCAAGTTTTCAGATTCAAAAATAGGACCATCCTACTAAAAACTAAGAATTTGTGTCCAGACACAGTAATTATATGATAATAATCGTATGGGCCATATTCTTTGAGATATTTATTAAACAAATCTATAGCAGATATTTGATAGACAAATATTTAGAAGATGGAGAATTCCAACACAAAGAAGTTCTCTACTCCAGTCCTAACAGAACTTGGACGCAGGTGCTCTGCATTAGTGTTCCCATTCTGAAAACCATTAGTGTTCCCATGTTGAAAACCATTAACGTTCCCATGTTAAAAAACATTAATGTTATTGTGATATTTTTGGTATCCATAATACTTGATATTTTGAATAGTTTAAAGCCATATTTGTAGAGTAAACAGACTCTAGAATTGTATGGAACACTTTTCACCTCAACAGAAGGGAATGAACTTAGCATGTAACATATGAACACAATAAAGAACACCAAGATCAATAACTAAACTCATCTAAAATAATGTATTGATATAATAAACTTATAGGTAGATAAATTATCAGCAAAAAGGAGACCAAGAACAAAGAGGGGAAAATCACAAACACATTCATAAAAATAAATTTAAAATTGCCTCAAACAATTTAAAAAAAAGTACAGATTAACTTAATATAACAGGCGGTATAAAATTTCTGCCACTCATGTCTTCCCAAAAACAAAAGTGAGAAAAAGTTCATTAGCTACCAAAAAAAAACTGATCCAGATGTTACATTGGGGCAAGAAAGATAAAATATAAATGGTGTGATGGAACCTCGTGATAAAAAAACACCGGCTTATTCCCAACCAGTCGCTTGGATAGATTCAATTACGGGAGCACCTGTTTGTTGTGGTGGAGGAACAGCTTCACCCCAGTCCCCTGCAACTGCAAGATAACTCTATATCAACAAAACAATACATTCTACAAAAAAGTTAAATCAACCACTCGACAAATCTTGAAGAGTGAATCAAACACAAATAAAAGAAATAAACATTGGCATAGTGAAGTAAAATTAAAATTAACGAATACCAATGACAACACCTACAGAAAATTTGAGATAAAATCACAAGGGCAGTTCTAAAATAGAATAGTCTATTTACTCTACATATTTTTTAAACAGTATAGAATCATGTACCAGCTTCTGGGGCTGTCCAGTTTACAGCAGGAACTGCTGGAATGGGTTGTGGAGCAGCATCAGTCCATGTATGATCAATGGCAGCAGGCCATTGTCCATCATTGGGAATAGAAGCTGCATTGAAATCGGCAATGGCATAATCTGGAGCAAGAACTTCATCTTCCTCTTGCTCCTTGGCCTCTTCTGGTTCTCTGTAGAAGAATAGATCCACCTGCATTAAAGAAAGCCTTAGTTAAACACAATGTACTAGACTACTAGTTGTGAACCTACGTATTCATCAGAGGAGCACAATGGCATGGGTGCATCATGTAGAAGCTAACACAAGACAACATATACTCTACAAATTTACTTCACACTGCAGAATCTAACACAAAACTACACATACTTTATCAACTTACTTCACATTGCAGAATCTAACACAGGACTACACATACCTTATCGATTTACTTCATTGCACAATCTAACACAGGACTACACATACTATATCAATTTATTTCACATTGCACAATCTAACACGGGACTACACATACTTTATCAATTTATTTCACATCGCAGAATCTAACACAAGGCTACACATACTCTATCAATTAGAGAAAATAGATTACACATACTCTATCAATTATCAAATAAAATTAGTTTACCATGACATCCCACTTAAGGCCAGGGCGAATAGTACCACGCATCTGCAACACCATCCTAGCCAAAAGCCAAAAGAGACAACCAATGCTATGTTTTCCCTTGTTGTTAGCCGGAATCCCAATATCAACATATCTCATGGGAGAATCAGTGTCACAGAAAGCAATTGTGGGAATGTTTCCAAGTGCAGCTTCCTTGATGGGCTGCACTCAAACAACACATAAATAGAATTACACAAATATACTCCATATAACTAAATTTCACATTTCATTTCCAGTGCATGAAATGAAAAGATGGGTAATGGGGTGGAACCTGGTGATCGGTTCTCGGGTCAGTGAGGATAAGAAGACGAGGCTCACTGAACGAAGTTTGAAGCTGATTGGTGAATGTACCAGGAGTGTGTCTACCAGCAATAGCATGAGCACCAGTATACTGAGCAAATTTGAGAACAGCTCTCTGTCCATAAGGTCTAGCAGATTGAACAATTATGTCCTGAGGGTTTTCAATTGCTACTATAACCCTAGCAGCAAGTTGAAGCTTTTCCCACGTCTTTCCAAGATTAATAATGTAAATACCTAAACAAATTCACACAAAATCAATTCATAATTTCATAATTTCTAGACTACTGAAACTTCATTTTCATTTTCTAGGGTTTGGAGTGTTACCGTCATTGCGGCGCTTAAAAATGTATCTTTCCATTTGGAAATCACAATTCTTTGTACCGAGATGGACATCGGCGGCTAACATCATCTGGATGTCGGCTTCTTTCTGGGAGAGTTGTCGTGGCGGAGCTGGGTTGGTGGTGGCCATGGTGACGGAGAGAGAAATTTGCGCGGCGGAGATAGATCGGAACTGCGGGTAGGGTTATTGAAAGAGCTTCTCTGAGTAAGAAGTGAAAAAGGTAGGGTTTTGAGAATTCTGGTGGATAAATACGGCCCACGATTCCAATAATGGGCCTTTACAATTAGAGCCCATAATATGGATTAGAGATTTATTTGGTCCATTTCTATATGTAGAGTTAAATTCTTGAAAATCTGAAAATATTCTTCGGATGTGTATATTCGAACGCGTCATTCAATAAGTTTTGGATATGTACATCTGAAGTCACTCTGCGAATATGTTAACAGATGTTTCAGATATGTATATCTGAAACATTGTTTGGTTGTGCCATTTTTGTTTAAAACATCATCATTACCAGTACTTAATAAACGGACAAACAAACAAATATAAAATTATATGATTTGGACGAAAAAATGAAACGAACATAACACTTAGATTAAATGTTCAGAAATAGGGAAACATAATATAATACATAAGTTGTTCAGAAAGTGAGTAATATCAAAATATTACATCGGTAAAAAAAACATAACATAACATAGGCTATTGCTACTACGTATGCCTAATCCTAACCCCTTGTGACTTCCTCTGCCTCCTATATTGCGCTGCACTGGATGCCTCTTTATCCATCCTCCTAACGATGGCAACCGCCTCAGGACCGTCCCTCTCAATGATCCCGAAATTCAATGCCTCCTGCCCAAGAATGTGTATTCGTTGACAGATTAATAAGACATCAGTGGCATAGTCATACTCGGTATGCTAGTTCTCCATGAGCTCATCATGAGTTGGTCTAGATGGACATTCTGGACCATCTGGTGTTATGATAGAGTGTGTTAAAGAATCATGTCATGTATCCCTCTACACAATGTCAACTCTCAGATGCCAGCATCGTTCGATAATCCTATGGTACCAAATGACTCTCCTAATCCTGAAAGATATCATCGAGATCTCGACGGACAACGGTGTCAGGAGCAACCTAAAATGAAGATTTGGGTATCATTTGCACAAAGTCAAATTGTCGCATGCACCGCTCTGGAAGATATATGACCATCATGTTAGTCCAATATACAAGCCACCCGGAGTATAATAAGATGGGTTCGAAGGGGACAATACTCTTTAATCCTCGAATGGGGTTCATTTGATGTCATCGTGATTAGTAGGATCAAGATACACCTGGTAAGGCGGCACTTTATGATTCCATTTATGGATGACATACTTTGCAGCCCTCCCTATGTCGTCAATATAAGCAGGATCAGGCTCAAATCATGAATGTGGTGGAAGTGAGAGATGATCCAACTTTGAAACACAAATCAAAGAGTATGTAAGTACAAATTATAAAAAAACAAATTAAATGTAATAGTTGGAATGGAAGGTACTGTGAGGAGTGTGCAAGAACCAGTGAGTTGCCTCATCCTCCAATTTGAAGCTTCATTCTTCTTTTGGTATAGGTATACCAAAATGGCGGGCCCCTAGTTCCACTCATGAACTGTACTCAAATCCATAAAATATCGAAGGTATGTCAAATCTATGTAGGTTGCACTTTTGTCCACAGAGAGACGTGTCAACCAAGAACATGAAGTAACACTGTAAAGCATAATCTTAGTGGTACTGAACAAAAACCTCGTCACCACCATCCTCGGTGCGCGCTACTGCAACCAGGTGCTCTTCATATAAGTCACTCGCGGTGGAGAATTTTGCATGTGATCCATTAGTTGTAATGCACTCTTCAAGTGCCTTAAATGGATCAGCTCCCAAATACTCGACCATCCATTCAATCGCCTCATCTTGTGGTACCCGAAAATGGTAAAGTAACCTCCCTCTGATAGGTAGGTGGATCAAGAAAGCTGTGATACGGTGGGAGAACTGACTTGAGTTTTTGCGTTTGTATTCGCACTTGTTCGGTTTAGCAAGAGTCGCCACCGACTTTTTATTTTATCCTAAAGGAAAGGTTAAAAAAGCACAGGAAAAACCTTTTGAGATGTTTCGTGGGTTCGGGGGGTAGATTATGAAAAGGGAAGGTATTAGCACCCTTTTCGTCCATGGTTATCCATGGGCTCTTAGTTACTTGTTTTAGATCACTTGCCTTTGATTTTCAATTACTTGAAATTGTGGTGTGTGTGTGTGTGTTTTTGAAAACGTTTTGAAAAAGATGCCTTGTCTAGGCAACCATTGAAATGACTCTTGTTTGAGTATATGCAAAGGTGTTTGTCTTTTTTGAAAAGATATTTCAAATGTTTTTGGAAGTTGTTTTTGAAAGTGTATTGTGAAGTGGGTTTTGAAAAGTAGGCAAGTGTTTTTGCAAGTTGATCAAGTAACTAAGAGTTGTCTACCCCTAAATTTACTCAAAGGTTTTTCTCATGTTTTAACCCTTTTAACAATTTTGTTCCACCATTGTATTTAGTGGACAATCTTGCGTTAGGATGTTAACGGGACAGGCGCGGGTCATCGTATGCACCATGAATGCAATGGTGCCAAGTGTCTTTGGCAATTTGCTTGAAGGGACTATGATCATTCCGTTTAGGCAACTTTCGAAAGCATCATCGAGGGACTTATGATCATTTGAATTGTTTTGCCAAAGAAACTCAACGTGCAAGCATGGTCCATTTTGGAAGGCAACAAGCGGGATTACCCTAGGGGTGCAAGTGTGAATTATGTATTGATTTCATGCATTTTGTCTTGTATTAGGTTATCTAGCGTTTGGTTTTATTTACATACAAACCCTAGGTCTAACCATGGTATATTTGAAAGCGATAAATTGCGGGAATTTAAAGTCTACGCTATTACAAATAAGTATTCGGGAGTGGGGGTACAAATATTTACAAATGGGGATGAGACTTTAATAGGAGAGTGGTGTCCAAATATTTACAACCAAATCGAATCAATCGCAAATGTAATATGTAGTGTATAGCAATGTATAAGAAATAAAGCAATGTAAATGTGTCAATGTATTTGTGTAAGTGTAGGTGATTTATTTACAAGTGATAATGATGTTAACTTAATGAAAAAATTAAGTATTTATTCTTTTTGGATATTTTCGTGGTTTAGGGCAAAACCCTAATTTTGTAAATAAATAGTATTTATTATTTATCATATACAATATTTATTAATTATGTACAAAAAATAAATAAAAGAGAAGTATATTGTAAAAAAGTAATTTTTGAGGTCAAATATTAATAAAAATAAAAAATGTATTATTTTTATATTCTTATCCTAATATTCTAATAAACATATAAGTATTTATATTATATATTAACTATACTAAATATATACAAAAAATAAAATATTAATTATTTATTAAAAAAAAGTGTATTTTAAGAAAATATTTTCAAAAGGTAAAATAAAATAATAACAGAAAATAAATGTATTTTATATTATTTTTTAGTATTTTAAATAAAAAAGGTATTATGTTTATTTATATGTACAAGTTTAAAGAAAGCAAATAAAATACAAATAAAATGCAAAAATGGTTGAAAAAATATTTTTTATATTTTTTATGTTTTGACAAAAAATAATAAGTCAGAAGAAAAAATAAAAAGTCAAAAATAATTAAAAAAACACACAATGGGCCAAGGGGGTGTAAGTGGAAAATAGTGGTGCAAACAGAAAAATAAGTCAGGCCCAGCCCAAGGGGAGTTGTCTTCAACCTCCAGTCATTGTTTGAAACAAAGAAAAAGCGCGTCCTTGCTCAACCTGCTAACTTCTGATTCCTTGATTTTCAACAAAAACTTACAACATCAAAAGTGTAGAGCATCTTGTCACGATTCTAAACATATAAATAACTTGATCTAATTCTCAGAAATGAGAGAGAATTTCTCCTCCCCTAATTCCTGACCTAGTTTTTTTCAAATGTTCATGTCCAAAATTCGTGCAGCACACACAATATAAATGAGAAGTAAGGATATGGGTAGCTTCAGGGCCATGAGTGGGACATACCTTCTTCACAAACTTAAGCCTAAATATGCTTGGATAGAGAGATGGAAGTTCAAACTTTTACCTGTTCAGCTTGAGTTGTGTACAACAATGGAGGTGCTTTCAATGGAATTTGAGGATTTGTACAGCTTGTTTGAGGTCCAAGGATGCTCTTCCAACCTCTAGCTTGCTTTGAAACTAACTGAATCGAGCTATGTAACTCAACCTGCACAGATGAAAAATGAAAATGGCACACTTGGCTATGGCTGTTACAGTCTGTATCTAAGGTTGGGGATAGTTTGTATGGATGTTATAGAATGTGTTTGAGGTGGTTTGGATGAAAACGCACGATGGAATGATGCTGGCCAAGTCAATCTGCAACAGGGACTCTGTTTTGCAAAAAAAATGGGCTTTGATGAATGAGAAGGTATTGAGGGTTAAGGGCTCGTGTTCTAGGTTGGTTAGGGAGTATGCAATGTGTGGACAAAGTTTGTTTAGGCTCTTGCTTGCAGGAAGTGAATGTGGTACCCCTTTTGCAATGTTTCTTCAAAGATAAGTAAGGAAGTGGGTATTGACAATGCAGGCCTGTACTACCCTCAATCCATGCTGCACAAATCACTCTTGATCAGTGGAATTTGTTCATGAATCTTGTGCCTCAAAGATTTCCTTGTACTTCAAAGATATGGACTTTGACATAAAGTTGATCTTTTCAAAAATGGCTAAAATGCTTTTTCCAAATATGGCTTAATCTTGCAAGTAATGGTTAAACACACAAAATAAGGCTTGAACACAAAGGATTGGCATTAAATTATTGAGTGTGGATGAGATAAAAGGCCTGTAACCTAGCTTGTGCAAGCTGACTTGAAAATGCAAAGTTATGAACATGTAATTGGCTTATGAACAAGGTGACTTTTGCCCATCTTTACAAATTCGATTCTCCCTAACCACAAGGGTGTTTGAGAAGTTCTTGGACAATTTGGAAAGCTTGGAATGTGTAATACAATCCATCTTTGTAATGCAAGTTGAAATTCCAAGTGGAAGCATGTGAAAAATAGCCATGAAGT